CGCCCCATTTCCCCCGCATCCCCCCTCACTGCCGCCCCCTCTGGAGACTGCGCAGGACCTGCCTTTAAAATCTTCCCTGTTCCTCTGCGTGGTGCAGAGGAACCCCTCTGCTCCTCCCCCGCGTTCTCTCAAGTGACTCGAATGTTCTGTCAGTCTAAGTGCAAAACTATTTTTACCACAGTGTTGGGGAATCTCTGGGCACAAACTGTCTGCAGATTAGGTAAATTACAGGTGCTGGGGTTCATGTTACTCATCGGGCCGCCACAAGTTTAAAGCATTAATCTGCCTCTTCTGAATTTTCCCTTTTGGTCAGCGGACCTTTCCTTCACGCTCTATTCTCTTGGCTCTATTCTCTAGGCCTCTCAGGGGCCTTGCTAGGTGACTCTTCTTCCACAGGCAGGCTGGACCAAGTTCTGTTCATCCTGCGTCTCTCCTTTCCCGCCCCCCTCCCCCCTTTTCTTCTGTCATTTTTTCTCCTTCTTTCTCTTTTCACGGCTGCTTCTGTCTGGCTCTCAGTCCTCCTTCCTCAGCTATAACTGAAACGGCTTTCTTTGAATCCAGCTATGCAACAATATAGCCAAATTCCTCAGATATGACCCACACAAATCTCTTCACCAGTTTCTGACAAACTGTCACCTGTGACCGTTTCTTCCTTGAACTTCCTCCTTCTGTGACCACCATCCCAACCCACAGATTTGCTAAAAATCTTCAGCATGCTCCCTGGAAATACCAACTCCACATTCAGGGACTTCGATCCCCAAACCATCCTTTCTCAAGCTTCCAGTTCATGATAGACTGGTCATTGTATGCTAGCTTCGAACCACCCTCTTTCCTCCAAAGCTCCTAGTTCCGTTACTCATTTGTGTGATTTTTCAAATTAGCATCTGTCCCCCAGGTAACTGGAGATTTGTTGAGGGCATAAATACATGAAACACTGTTACTGGAGTCACTAGGTTCAATATTTTCACTTCCACTATACCATTAACATCAATCAATCCTTAAATTCCTCTTAAATATCTGTCTCACAAAATCTAGGTATTTCCATTAATTCACTCCAGCTATTTCAATCAGAGGCCTTATGAACTGAGTAGGGGAAGGGGGGAAAATAACATTTGTTGAGTGAGTATTCCTTATCATGGACTCAACAATTAATTATTTCATTTTAGGCGAAGGACATACCTGTGATGGATGTTTTACATATGCCAGTTGATCTCTTATAAAAATGAGGCTCAGAATATATAATTAAGAATGGTTAGAGGGGCGCCTGGGTGGCTCAGTCAGAAGTCACCTGCCTTCGGCTCAGGTTCTGATACCAGGGTCCTGGGATAGAGCCCTGCTCAGTGGGGAGTCTGCTTCTCCCTCACCCTCTGCCGCTACCTGTCCCGTCCCCAGCTCGTGCTCTCTCTCTCTCAAATAAATAAATAAAATCTTTAAAAAAAAAAAAGATTTAAAAAGAATGGCTAGAACTTGGATTCTGTCTCACGCCAAAGTTGTTTTTCTACTGCTTACATCACCTTCCCAAAGGCTCATAGCTGCAATCCACCATTGACTGAGTAGCGATAATCGTTTCCCTCCCACTCCTTTTCATAGAGAAGAACTGGATATAGTCAAGCTTTTGTGGAGATGATGGGAAGAAAATGCATTTGCAAATAACTAAGCATGAAGTAAGAATAACAGGGCGGTAAACTGTTTGAAAACTCTCAATTTTATCTCTAACCTAGTTTCAGATTTTGTTATGAATGAACTCTAGGCCCCTGAAGTGAATAATTGATCCTTAATATTATTATTCTCTTATTGCTAATAAATCGTCCATAATTTTTAAAAATGCATTTGCACTATTTAAAGTTTGGAGGATTTCGGTTTACACAAACCTGTTTGGACCACTTGTCAAGGTCTGTGTCTTCCAAGTTCTGCTGAGAAATAATGCAATTACAGGCATCTCATATTCTGTAAACTGTCTGAGTTCCAAGAGTTCACCAGTTAGTTGTTTGGAATCACTGCGTATTTTCCCATTATCTAATCTAGTAATGGGTGGTTATTTCCCAAGCTGGCATTTCCTTTTCCTCTCCTCCCACCTGCACCCCCAGCCCCCAAAACAACAACAAAAGAAGGGAAAGCATATTTCAACCAAGGTGAACAACAACACTAAATTTTATTGGCCCGAGTTCTAGAGAATGTTGGGAAAGGCATTTTATAATTTAATAAGGAACAACAATTCTGTAGTAAAGTTTGAATTCACAAAGAAATGCCACCCCTGTCTGGGAGGTTAATATTGATCAGCACCTCAAAGCTTTTTCTACTTTCTAGAATCTTTTCTTTCTACACTTTTAACTCACTGTTTCTCCAGTGACAACACTTGAATGAGGGAAAAATAAAAGGAACCTGCTTTTTCACATTCTTTAGCAGGTTCATGATGTGTAGACTCTCCAGCATCTATCTCTCTTAAAATTGATAATGAGTCTAAGAATGGTACCACCTTAATGTTCCTTCCATTTTTCAAGCAACAAAATTCCCTAGAAGTGCTATTTTTCTTATCTCATTTTCTGCCTACACCTAATTCCATCAGTGAAAGTACTTTTATAGAATATGCAACATTTCCGAAGTGATTGCACAATTTTAAAAACTTAATCTTCATCACTACCTTTGAGTGTATGACATCTTTAGTCACTCTATCATAAGGATAAAAAAAGTGAGAATTTGCGATATTAGAGTTGATGGAGTCTTCACAAGCTAAAATGGCTGTAACCTAAGCCTTCCACACCCCAAATTGAGGGCTATTTCTCACATTTTTAATCTCTTCGTCGTTTTCACTCACCCTTCTAGATTCAAACTCCATGAGAAAAGGGATCATTTTTTACTGTTTTATCCTTATCCCCAAGGATAAGGCACTTAGTAGGTACCCCCAAAATCCTGAATAAAAAAATTTCAGTTATTGTTATCTTAATTACCTTAGCAATAATGTGATATACTTTTACTGGTTAAAAATGACTTTTCAAATTGCCTACACATTATAAGATGCATCATGCAGTGTGGTTAAGAGCAAAGGATAATTTTCCATAATGGATGTTAGAGTATACCCCGAGTTGTTGGGGCCTCCAATCTGCTGTCTTAACTGCTGATATTAGCAACCAGCCCTGACAAAAATAGGAGAAAATGTCACAAAAGAGGTAATGGCTTCGTATTATTCTTCCCTGTGTTTCCTACTTTTCCAAAAACATAAAAATGGTTCTCAAACTTGAGAGGAAATTATTCAGCTGCACAATAACAAAAACATAAAAACAGCCCAAAATGTCAGAACATGACACCCGAAACCTTGTCTCAGTAAGAAAAGGCTATGAAGAATTATCTTCTGGAATGAGTGACTTGACTCAAAAAGGTAGCTAGTTCCTATATTGACCATTGATCCCTTATACTGTCTTCACTGTATTCATCTAAAAAATGAAATCATAGTGAACACAGCCTATAATTATCCCTACTTGGGGGGAGAATAGGAAGATCTTATGTTTCCATCTACTTTTTCAGGCCCTGACTATAGAGGCCAAAACCAAGGTTGACTGTCATCACAAAGGCCATTTATAAGTGAAGGGTGTCCTTCCAGAGCTTGGGAGGGAAAAGGAAAGGAAAGGGAAAAGAGAAAGGAAAAAGAAAAGAATGCAATAATAAAAGAGGGGGGAAAAAACCCCTCTCCAACAGCTATGCTTTATTTCCCTCATACGGAATGGTCTTAGCCCTATACATAGCCTTATGCTTTAAGTGCTAACTAATGTTCATCAAGCAGCTTATATAAGGCTATGTGCTTCACATGCATGACACCATTTGAGTCAACCCTCGATAAAATTCTGTAAGACAACTGCTTGTATCTTGGAACAATCCAGAGCCAGTACTTGTCTATGTACACATAAATAGAAATTAACTTAGCTAGGACTTGAAGGGAGTTCTTTTGAATCTAGAAACGCTGTCCTTCATCCCTATATTGTACTGCATTCCTGATCACCATGCTGTGTGTGTTGGACCATGGCGGGCGGCGATTAAAATTTGTATTCCTTCCTTGTGCCTTGGTTGCCTCCTTTCTCACCTAAATCCTATGAAACAAGCTTTTTTTGAGTCAATGTATATCAAGAATGCGAACAAACAAGCCATGAGCACAGTGTGCAGAGTAGGAGACAAAACGGAGGCACCTTGGGAGGGGGGTGCAGAGAATTTTGAAATATCAAGTAGCTATGGTGTGAGTCTTGTTTCCACTAAAACTGTTTTTAAAAGAGAAGTGATTCCATGTATTGCAACCCCATCCTCTGTCCCACCCCTTACCTCATTGGTATGACTGCTCCGCCATGGAGGGGTACAGAATTCAGATCTTGATTGCCACCCCCCAAAAAAAAGATAGCCAGAGAAGGAATCTGAGCACCCTCCAGCCACCCCTCCAGCTCCCAAATCATCTTACAGCCTTAGTAAAAGAGAGGAAAGAGATTTACCTGCTGCTATTGAGGCTGAAGCCTGAAAGTCATGTATAACCTTTGAAGGACTGTAATGGTTTTAATCACAGGAATAGCATCTTTTTGACAGGCGGGACAGAGAAAAGAGCTGAACCATTCTGCAAATATTAACCAGGCTATTTTGGAGCAATGGCTATTGCCTCTGAAATCTTTCATCATGGGTCTATACTTAGAATTCAGATGAGCCTGGGGGAGGGGAATGGAGCAGTGTAAATCCCCAGTTGTTTTGACGTTGTCCGGTAAACAGGTTAGCATCTAAACTGTCATAAATGGAAGCATTCGGTGCTTTATTTATATTGTAGGATTCTCTCAGAGTTATTTGTTTTAACCTGTTCTGCATACAGATTGTCCCATTGTCCTGGAGGTGACACTTCTCAGTTTTCTTTCAAACTAGCTATTCTGGAGAGCACTGTCTGTGATCACATTGGGAGACTGATGCTCCATGACAGCTAAAAGTTGGATTGAGTTTCAGGAGCTACTATATATAAAGCTGGGGCGACTTATGTCACCGCACTAATTAAATGCCATCTGGGTGGTTCCTCTGGGTTTTTGAGCCCATCACCCAGTTCAGACCAAGTCAGAGGCCAAGGAGGAGAACATGATGATGGACCTTTTTGAAACTGGCTCCTATTTCTTCTACTTGGACGGGGAAAATGTTACTCTGCAGCCATTAGAAGTGGCAGAGGGCTCTCCTTTGTACCCAGGGAGTGATGGTACCTTGTCCCCCTGCCAGGACCAAATGCCCCCGGAAGCTGGCAGCGACAGCAGCGGAGAGGAGCACGTCCTGGCGCCCCCAGGCCTGCAGCCCCCCCACTGCCCAGGCCAATGTCTGATCTGGGCTTGCAAGACCTGCAAGAGAAAATCTGCCCCCACTGACCGGCGGAAAGCTGCCACTCTGCGCGAGCGGAGGCGCCTAAAGAAAATCAACGAGGCCTTCGAGGCACTGAAGCGGCGGACTGTGGCCAACCCCAACCAGAGGCTGCCCAAGGTGGAGATTCTGCGGAGTGCCATCAGCTACATTGAGCGGCTGCAGGACCTGCTCCATCAGCTGGATCAGCAGGAAAAAATGCAGGAGCTAGGGGTGGACCCCTTTAGCTACAGACCCAAGCAAGAGAATGTAAGCCCAGATGCTGCAGGGGCAGGGGAATGCTCCGGCTGATTAGACGCTTTCCTTGGGGCCTTAACCTCCAGCTGCTCCGTCTCCCTTCCCCTTCCCCTTCCCCTTCCTCGCCCGCCCCTCCCGCCCCTTCTCCAGTGAACCCCCAGTGACCCGTGAACTCGGGGTGCCTGCAGTAGGCAGGAAATTCGTCCCCGGCCTGAGGAAGTAGGGGAGACACCTCCACAGAGCCTCCCCACTCCCTGCCCGGAACCGATGTTTCTTTCCTAATCTTCTTCGGCCTCGGTTTTTCTCCAGCTTGAGGGTGCGGATTTCCTGAGCACCTGCAGCTCCCAGTGGCCAAGCGTTTCGGATCATTCCAGGGGGCTCGTGATAACTGCCAAGGAAGGTAAAGTAAAAGAAAGGGCACCGGGCTGTGCTGGAGAATATCCCGGGAAGGGGCCTGGGGTGAAAGGGTAGAAAGGGCTCGGAGCGGCGGCGGGGACAAGCGCGCGGGGACCGGGGTCCTCCCGCGTTGCCTAAGCGGCCTGGCGCGGGGCCCGCCCTGCCTCGTTCTTCCTGCGTCGGGGGTGCTATACTTGTGTGTTTTTCTTTTTCTGCGCTCAGGAGGGGCGAGCATCGATTCGTCAGCCTCGAGTAGCCTTCGATGCCTTTCTTCCATCGTGGACAGTATTTCCTCGGAGGAACGCAAACTGCCCTGCGGGGAAGAGGTGGTGGAGAAGTAACTCGCAGCCGGAGCTTGGGATGTTCTCCGCGCCGCCGGAGGACCCCTCCCTCCCTCCTTCTCCTAATCCTGTAGCTTGGGTCACATTACATTAATATTTAGGAACCCAGGCCCAGGAGTTTATGAAAGGGAAGGAGACCTGTTCACAAGGAAACGTCTCGGAAACTGTTGTGCACGCTCAGAGGAAAAAGCCTTTCGGCTTTGGGCTTTTGCTGTTGGAACCGCGAGTGGCTTAGCTCTAGCAGCCTGACCTTGTGTTCGGGTGGCTAGCTGTGTAACCTCTTCCTTTTATTCCGGTCATCCTTTTGTGCCGTGTTCAAAAGAAGTTCATTCCTGTCCGAAGCGAAGTGGAAACGTTGCATCGAAATGTTAGTGGTATTGAATGTATTTTTGTAAATATTCTTAGTACTTTCATTTTTTATGTAAACCCAAGAAATATATTTTAAATGTGGAGTGATGGATTGCATACAAAATGTGCGAGGATCCTGATACTGTAATATTAAAAAAAATAAGTTTCTTTATGAACAAAGTTGGTCCCAATTTGATTCAACTGAAAAAAAAATATGTTTGGGAGCAGGTGCACATAAATAAAGAGAAGCCATATTTTAACTTAGACGCCACACAAGCCCATTTGTTTGGGTGTGTTCTTAAAGGCTGACTGAAAGGGAAGAAAATGGGTTGTTTTCCTGTGTCTGAATTAAACTGTTCACTTTTCTATCTCATACAGACCTCACACTTGTGGTTAAAAGTGAAGAATATCCAGGAGGAATCTTCCCTCTTCCCCTTTATCACCATCTTTTTTATGTTTCAACTGTCCTATATACCTGGAGCTCTGGGTGAGATTTACTTACCCAGAGTTAACAACTGAATTTTCAACCCAGTAAAATCTCATTGTCGCAAGAGATAGCCACACAAAAACTTGGATTTGCCTAAAAAGCTCTTCAGCTAATTTACCCCAATTACTTTGCCTCTGACTTTCCAGGCCCGGGTCCTTCACGAAGAAGCCTTCCTCTGGAGGACCCAGGGGCTGCACTGGCCTCCCAGCCAGGTCGCTGGCCCCTCCCTAGTTTTCTTGAACTAGACTGGTTAGAAGACTGGAATACCATCCAGGCCTCGTGTGGCTGGGGTTTGTTTTGCAAATAGAAAGATAAAAGAAAGGAACTATCTGTTTCTTGAGGTGGGGGAAGCCTTCAAGAGAGGGAAGGGTTAAATGGCTGAGGGCAAAAGACAACAACACACATGAAACCTCTTACTGGACCAAATAGCAAAGACCCCAGAGAGGCTTGAAGCCCCAGGAGCTCCTCACGGCCAGGATTTTACAACGTGTGCCAGGTTTGTTTATCCTGTAACTTCAGGAAGAAACGACCACCAAGAATCACAGTGTGAAGTGAAGCGGAGGAGAGGGCCAGCCGTTTCTTTGGAATCGCTACTTCTCGCTTGCATTCTGTAAATGGCACCTTCACTCCAACACCCCTCCCCACCCTTGACTTCTTCCTTCCTTTTCCCCACAGCTGGTCCTCAGTTTACAAATGTGAAAATCAAACCGAATTCAGTATTTCCCAGCCCAACCTTGCTTCCTAACACTCCAGTCTGGACGTTCCTTTTGCACACCGCAGAAGTCCCGGAGACCACCACAGACAGCGCCCCCTGCAGGCACGGAGCAGTATCGTGCCCCTTTTCTATCTCTAAGGACCTCTTTCTGGGGGTAATAGTTACTCTGTCTTCTGAGGACCTGGATAATGCTCGTTTCTCCTAGAATGCTTATAAAGTGCAGAAAGCTTCATAGAGAAAACTGACATTGACATATAATCTCTTCCAGAGGTTTGAGAAAAGCAGGTGGGAGTGTTAGTGGCTGCAAACTGCTGAGTTGCTGTGGGCACTGCCTACTTAGATTGAATCCGGGTTGCTCCTGTGGAGACTTGGGCTATCCCAGCTCCTCTCTTCTTCTCGTTTCCTCATTTATAAAATAATGGTGAGGACAATAATGGTGCTTACGTCGGGGGTGTGAAGATTTCGGTGAGATATAACACATAAAAGCTTTGGCCAAAGCAGAGCACTGAACAAATACTCAATGTGGGCTCTCTTTATTTTTCATTAGTAAGTCTACATTGACCATCAAATGCTTCTCTTCCACCAAAAGCCATAGTTCCTTCAAATACTGTTTGCTGCCTGCCTTGCGGGCGCTATTTGGGAAAAGTATTAATAACAATGAAATCAGTAGCAATATGAATGACTCATTCTTAGCATTTTACATATTCACTCAGAATCCTACAACTACTTGTGTTGAGGGAAAGTTGTTACTTCTTTTGAGAAAAGGTTTCTTTGGAACGAAGAGTTTCTTGCATTTGTAAGCATAGAGCCAGGGGCTTGGAGCCAGTAAATACCAGTGGCTTCAAGCCTGTTGGCTCACTCACCTGTACCCTGAAAGAGAAGCCTTGGCAAATAAGAAAGAACATTTATGGTCTAGAACAGTTTGGCTCTCTTTAGCAATTATTTTCCAAATGTTCTTTCTCAAGAGTGATTAGCTAGCGAACTCCAAATTTGGGCAGTAATTTAATTAAAGATAAACTGTAGAGCATTTCAAATTATCCAATCAGAACATGTATATGAATACGAATATGTCTGGGTGGTGTGTATATCCATTCATCATGCTTATTATGTATATGATTTTTTTCTTGAGAATCAGTATTTTCCCTAAAATGTTTGTCTATACATATATATTCTAAATGTATACACATTACATATTATATATATAATATATATAGTAAAATATAGGTGTATATATGTGTGTGTGTGTGTGTGTGTGTCGCAGATTCATGCTACAACTGAAATCAAATCTTATAATTAACCAGGTGAATTCACTTACTTTATGATTGCACATATATTTATAATGAGATCTGTGTTGTAAACTATTTAGCAGCAGAATGCTTTTTATCAATTCATGGACTTTATTTGCTTGATGGATTTTATTCAGTCTTTGTGACCAAATCTTCTCTCTCTCTCCTAGCTAGGTAACTTGAGAAATTGTTTGGAATAAGTTTGCCTATAGAGGTCTCTTTGTTAAATAGAGCAAATATTTCCCAAAGACTTCATGTGACCTCCACTGCTATAGTTGACATATTAGACTCTCCAGTGAAAGCCTTGGTGTGTTTGCAATTAAAATATTTTTATTTGATATTAATGATGATAATCTTTACTAAGGCCAAAGCCAAAACAAACAGGGCCATGGAAGCAGAAAATCAAGATATAATAACTTGGTAAAGATAAGCAATTTGGGATTTAAACTGAGCCTCTTTCCAGAGGTAGGCATAAAGTTATCAAATATTTAAAAAATAAGTAATTTTCCTTTTTTATATTACTATACAAATAATTTATGAAATGTCAAATGCCAGCTTTTTCAAACTAACTTTAATCATCACACCTGAATCATCGAATTCTGACCCTGAACATAATGGAAATTCACTTATGTCTAATGGGCATATATGTATGTATGGGGGATGGGAGCATGGTGCTGAAATTGTGTTCTCAACTACTGTTGAGACTGCCAGAGAAGTCTTGGGCTGCTAAACTGAACTCTATCCTTACTAAGACATTTTTGACACAAAGTTAGAATATAGCCGTTGGTGCTTTTCTCTTAGTAAGCAATGTTTTATATCATTTATTTATCTCAAAATTCTCCTCCCAGAGCACCTTACCTAGAAAAAAATGTTTTAAAAATATTTAAGTTTAAACTTTGAATATCTCATTTCCTAATCTAATGCATTAGTAAATTAGCAATAACATGGTACTTCCTCAAAGAGCCAAGCCATCAAGACATTTCTCCAACAGACCCCTCCAGTCACTCCCTTACTCTCAAAAGCAGGGTTACAAAAGATGACCCTCATTCCTAGAGGTTTCATTCTGAATCAGAAATTTTTTGCAAGCCGAGTTCAGAGTCAGCTTGGCTTGTCAGTTCAGAATGGCTATGCCATGTGCTGAAACAAAGATAATGCTGCGAGAACTGGCTCCTTTCTCTACTCTCAAGGCTGCTCAAAGTCCTTCCATAGGCCTTTGATCTCCCCTGGGAGCCTTCGAACGCATGCAGAGGCCAATGTCTTCCTCAGCTGTCTTATCCGCAAATTCTTCCAGCAGCTTTGACAGGTACTAATGTGTTTACTTAGGTGTGCCTGGTTCCCAGAGCTAATAGCAGTTTGAAATTGTTTAGCACATTGTGAAGTCATATATGATAAGCCAAAATCTCTAGAACAGCTCCCTTTTCCAGGAGTTGATAAGGGTCTCAGAGAGAGGCAGAAGTGATTGAAATGGACTCATCTTTCTATGTATATTTGGTCTCTCCCACTGAGAGAAGCATAGAAAATTTGGAATAATGCAGAATTCCTAGGGTAGGCAAAATTTACTAGAAAAGGAAGCTCTGAGCATCATTTTGCTGGTGGGCTCTGTCCATCAACACTAGGATTGTTGCCATAATGCTTAAACTAAAATAGATTCTCAAAAAAAAAAAAAAAGAGGTTGGTGATTACTTAAAGGTCTATGCAGCTAAAACCTGCTGAGTCTAAATTGTAAGAAAATCAGACATGCATTTATTTTCCTTCAGAATGTTAAGTGAAAAAAAATTTTTAATTATCTATATACTTCACGAGAACCTTGGGTGGCATTCATTTATAACACCATGCATGCCTTAATTGTCTTCCCTTCATCTGTCTACTGTAAGGCTTTCCTAGTAGTTAGTGTTGGATGTTATTTCTAACAACGTGGTTGCATATTAAATATGTGGGAGTTTCCTCTCCACGTGAGAAATCCACTTCTCTAAAGAAAGAGTGGAACACTGATTGTATTTTTATTCTTTTCTATGAGGAACAAAAGTCAGTCGAGTCTGATTTTGAGTAAGAGCACCCAAATAATCAGATCTCTCTCTCCCTCTCTTTTTTTTATGATTTTCAACTTTTTTCATACTGCTTTGTTCAATTTCCCCACCCCAAAAAAATTATTTTTGTCTGTATCGCTCACCATCGCTCACCCAGTTTCTCCTCTTCTCTTACACAGTTTCCCCTCGGAAAAGAGCAGCAGAATCTCTCCGGACCTGGGGGACCCCAGCCATCTTTGAGGCACTGCTTCCTTTTCTCTTTGTATACTGTCTCCCGTTCTTTGTGTATTTGTTTGGTTTTGTTCTCCCCCCCACCCCGCCTTTTTCTCTCTCTCTCTCCCCCTTCTCGCCACTGACAGCGGTTTAAAACTTTTGTCTCGTTTTTTACTTTGGTGTTTTGCGATCCTATTTTCAGCGCTTGAGTCCCAAGGGTCCTCAACCCCGGACCTTGTTTCCCCCCCAGCAAGTCCCATTAAGCCGCCGGGCGCTTGTGTTTTCGCGGCTTCTTTCGTTCCACTCGCCCGCGGCCCTCTGGTAAATTTGTTTTGAGATCACCTTACCAAAGACAGCCCTAACCTCTGAGAACTACCGTTACTGACAGAGCCTCCTGAGTGACAGCGTCTTCCAGGCCCGGGGCGGAGGGAAAGGCGTCGGGCACCCAGCTTTGGCGAGTGTCGGCTCCGCTGCGCTAAGCACGCGCGCTGAGCCCGAACTGACCAAAAAGAAAACAAAATTCACCTCTAGGAGCACAAGCTCTAAGGAACAGGATGCCCAGTTCCAATCCTGTGTGACCTGGGGCGAATTACCTACCCCTTGAGCTTTGGTTACCGTCCTTTAAAAATGGATCTAATAAATAGTTCCCACAGAGTCGTCGAGAGCAGTAAATGAATGAACACAAGGAAGGGGTTGAGAACAGTGCTTGGCAAAGAGAAAAGTCTTACTAATTGTTTACTACAAATATCCCGCACTGAGGGATCGAGTACAGAGCTCATGAGGTGCCTGGTGTAAAGAAATCAGCTGAAAAGCGAGTATAACATATCTTCCCCTTAAACTTTGAGGGGCAAGTTGATTTGTGCCCAAATCATAAATCTGCGCGACTCGTGTGTACTGCATAGTCGGAGAAAGTGGGGGTATTGGTGCTGACCAGAACCTGTGTGACTTGGCTGAGAATTCCTGGGTGAGATTATCTCCCCACTATTGTATTTCAGAGGTAGCAATGTGTATGCATTCCAGTTTCCACCGGTGTGGATGGAGTCTTCCATTCCACCTGGGTCCTTTAGGAACTTGACTCTTTTTATCTAGTGTAGCCCTTAGTACCCTATTCATTTCAAAGGCATCCACTTGTTAATAGTCCTAAATAAGGTGCAGATGGATTTCCCACTGGCCAGACAATTAAGCAGCTCATTGGTGTGAAAGGGAGCTTGATTTTCAAGGGTGTGTGGGGGTGTGTGTGGTGGTGTCTTTGTCTTAGGATGAATGAAGGTGGGAAAGGGGGCAGAGCCTTGCACCTAGTAGCTAACCTTAATGACTGACATTCTACCACCCCTGTTTTTCCGAACCTTCACTTTAGAGAGCACATCTCATCCTGAAAAAGTTAGAACTTCTCTGATCCTTGCAGACTTGGGATCAGCCAGCCAGGGGTGCTTGAGGAAAATAATTTTAGGAATAAGTAATAGAAGGAAGCCCCCCCCCGCCCCTGGCCACACCACTTACTGGGCTGGATGACTGAAGATGGTGATGAGAACACTCCCTCCTATTTTAATCGGGCCACAAGCCCTGGTCCAAACCTCCAGACTACTTAAGTCTATGTACCTAGACCTTAAGTAATGTTTTTTCCTGTAGATAAACAGCACCGTTCCCTCCCCTCCCCACCCCAAGAGGTCTGCAAGTGGGTTAAGGGTAGAGGAGCATTGGCAAAAGCGGATTGATAGATTCATTCTTACATAAATGGCAGCCCTCCCTTCTCTCCTTCTACCCACCAAAGTTCCAAAGACCCTGCTGCGATTGCTTTTCTGGAAGGCTTTTGTCGCCAAAGTGTGTGAAGTTACTCAAGGTTTGAGTTGGAAATTTTACACGAGCCGAGAAGGATTGCTGTGCCGGCAGCTGGGATGCATCTGTAACGGTGTTAGTTCGCCTGAAAGCAGAAAATTAGCGACCCCAAAGCCCAGCTTGGCTGTTTAGTCTGTCGAAATGGCAGGGCGGAGCAGAAAGAGGAGAAAGGAAACTCGCCCCTGGAAAGAAGGGTCGCCGTCTAAAACTCAGTTTCTTCGAATACAGATCACAGAGGCGCAGTCAGTATGGATCTGTGGCCGGCTGGGGGTCTAGCCAAAGGCCTGGTACAAAGCAGGAGGCGCTGGGTAAACGTGCGCAGAAGGGGAAAGGAAGGGAGGACAGTTCGTGGTCACCTGGCCCTTGAGCCCACCTCCTGTTAGATGAGCAGACATGTAAAGAGAATTCAGAGTGAGCCCTGTCTTGGAAAAAAGGAACCTCCCTGCCCACCCTCCAATAATACAGAGCCTATAAAGTGACAATCTGACCAGAACAAAATAGATTTTTAAATATCTAGATTCACTCCGTGATTCGAAGTGTCACTTCAAAGTTTTTAGCAACCATTATTGGATCCACTGACTGAAAAAATTCCTGAGATAATTAGAGTTCATGTAGACGAGAAACAAACACCAAAAAACAAGGTAATTCCTCATGCCCAAGATTGGGAAGGCTTTTGGTGTTACCTTATAGTAGGGAGTTTTATTTATTAATATTTGTTATGTATGAGCAATTCCAAGAAGTTGGATGGACTTCGTTCCTTTGTCTCTACTACTCTTTAAGTGATCCCTTGGTTTAGGTACTCTAGAGAGTGCAAGTGAACGGGTTGGGGAATGATCCCCCCGCCCCAGCAGAAATGCAGTAAAACCATTAGCATCAAAAGGGGCTGTAAACAGCAAATTCTCTCTAGAGGGAAGGCGGAGGTTTGCCCAGACAGCCCCTGCGGGGGTTGTGGTGGGATATGCTAATAGTGCCTGGCCACTGGGGCCGGCCTCCTTCCCCCAAGAATATATAAAGAGCCCCAACCCCAGCACACCCGACCCAGGCCGCCAGGCGTTTGCCCTTGTTAATTACCGGAGAAACCGACCAGGGAGTTCCGCCCGGGATTTGCTGGCCCGCAGCGGCGCCAGGCTCCCGTCTCTCCCCTGTATCTCTCGCTGCTGTCCAGGTGCCCCACTTGCTTCACCGCTAAGAATGGAAATGATGGACGGCTGCCAGTTCTCGCCTTCTGAGTACTTCTGTGAGGGCTCCTGTATCCCGTCCCCCGAGGGCGAGTTCGGGGATGAGTTTGAGCCCAGAGGGGCTGCCTTCGGGGCGCACAAACCAGAGCTGCAAGGCTCAGACGAGGACGAGCACGTGCGAGCACCTACAGGCCACCACCAGGCTGGCCACTGTCTCATGTGGGCTTGCAAAGCATGCAAGAGAAAGTCTACCACCATGGATAGGCGGAAGGCGGCCACCATGCGCGAGAGGAGACGCCTGAAGAAGGTCAACCAGGCTTTCGAGACGCTCAAGAGGTGCACCACGACCAACCCCAACCAGAGGCTGCCCAAGGTGGAGATCCTCAGGAATGCCATCCGCTACATCGAGAGCCTGCAGGAGCTGCTGAGGGAGCAGGTGGAGAACTACTATAGGCTGCCAGGACAGAGCTGCTCTGAGCCCACCAGCCCCACCTCCAACTGCTCCGACGGCATGGTAAGAGAAAGCGCTGGTCCCCCCGATCTTTTCCAAAACTTCCTACATCCTACATCTCATTTAAACCAGGTATGGCAACCAAATATTAAATGGTTATTGGTGGATAGTGGGGGGGGGGGCTAGAAGAGAGGTGCCACATGTAGAAAGATGCCAGGAAACAGCTGTTGAACAGGATTTTAGTTTGACTTCTTCCCAGGTTCCAGGTGAACATTGTAGGCGAGGGTCATCCTATGAGGCAGGTGGCTGCAAATGATCAATAACATGTTTTCTCCACATGGCCCCTGTCCTTGCTCTGCTGAGGCCTGGCTGGAAAGAGATGTTGATGCATTCTTTTCAGAGGGCGTTTGTTCCATCGCTGCCAGGTTTTAATGTGTTTTTGCCCTGGGAAAATATTCTCTCCCTGAATTAGTGTGGCTTCCTTCTACTCCAATCCATTTTGCATGGTTAACCCAATGCACATTGCTGCTGAATTCCACCCCCGCCCTGTTCCCTGGGCCGCGGCTCTCCTCTTCTTCAAGCACAGAGATTGACTTCAGTGCCCTTACAATTCGGTGAGGGCCAACCCTTCCTAAATCAGGGCAATGAAGGTGGTTGAGAGTGGTCAATGTACAGAGCCATTGGTCAAGCACAGCCGCACCGTAGGTCAGAGCATCTTTTACCAAGACGTGAAAACAAACCTCCTTTGTGTCTTGTATTATAGCCGGAATGTAACAGTCCTGTCTGGTCCAGAAAGAGCAGCAGCTTTGACAGCATCTACTGCCCAGATGTACCAAATGGTAAGAACTGATGACTTCAGAGGAGTTTAAAAATCAGTTCAACTTCACAGTTCAGCCTGTCAAAGCAGAGTCTGCTTTTCCAGGTTGTATCGGGGAAGGGAATAGAAGGGAGGATTCTGATGGGGAGGTTTTGGTGCAGCAAAATATACACACATCTTTTGTTCAAAATTCCCCTAATAGAGACACACATATGCACTGTGGCTCAAAATTTTACTAGGGGGGCTTCTCCACTCCCTACATTCACCTCCATGAATTGCTAGATATTTGTTGCAAATTTCTGCGTCAGGCTTTCTCTGACCACCTGACCTCTGGGTGTCAAAGTTGCTGACCTATGGTTTACGGGGCCACATAAACAAGTCTATTTGGGATTTTTTTTTTAATGGTTTTCTCCTTGTGTTCTTAGTATATGCCACAGATAAAAGCTCCTTATCCAGCTTGGATTGTTTATCCAGCATAGTGGATCGAATCACCAACTCAGAGCAACCTGGATTGCCTCTCCAGGACCCGGCCTCTCTCTCCCCAGTTGCCAGCACGGATTCACAGCCTGCAACTCCAGGGGCCTCTAATTCCAGGCTCATCTATCATGTGCTATGAACTGAAAATCTAGTCTAGATGAGTTCTACGAGGAGGGCCTATTACACAGGAGGAAGGAAGCCCCAAAAGTTCCAAAGCAAGACAACTTGTATATAAAGATTTCCTTTCAGTTGTAAATTTGTAAATATTATCTTGCCACTTTATACGAAAGTGTATTTAACTAAAAAGTCACCGTTGCAATTATACTTTATTTCTTTTCTGCTCCTCTTCCTCCTTCTTCTTTACCTCCTTATTCACTTTAGATATATAGTTCCAATTATATTCTTTGTGATAGGGGGCAATTCATTGAAGGTAGCTTGTTGCAATGCTTAACTTATATTTTTTTTATAAATATTGCTTATCAAAATATTATGTCTGATGTTAGATCTTTATTTTTTTCTTTAAAACATTAGAACAGCTGGAAATCAGTTACAGGAAACTTAAATATATTTAACTTTTGTTTTTCTATTAACGCTTTGGTGATATTCTATTAAGTAAACATATAATGATACTGCTTAATGGTATATATTTTGATCTTTTCTCATAAGGAATGCGTCTTTTTAATGTAAGCACAAAATAGTACTTTGTGGATAATTTCAAGATATAAGAAATTTTGGAAATTCCACCATAAATAAAATTGTTTAGATGAAGAAATAGTTGGTTCATGTTTTTTACAAAGAACACCCTTAATCAAATTAGCGGTCACTGACATGAAATTTTTAACATGGGGCTGAAAATAACAATAGTTGGCTTTGTGGATACATTTGAATGCTTACCATCTCACGGACACATTTTAGGTCCTGTTGATGTCACAAAGGAAGAGAACATTTCTATTTTAATCAGCTTTGAAGGGAGCCTGCTAAATACAATTTTTCCCTTCTCTTAGTACTGTGCCCAATAAGTTCAAATTATATGTGTGTGGAAGGGAAGGAGAAGTTATTCAGGACAAAACTAAATGTTTCAATGAAAACCTATAGGACATTAGAAATCATGAGTTAGAGAATATTTACTTGCCTGAAAATATCTTGATACATTAATATGTTAATATTGTCAATAAAATATTTAAAAGTACCGAGCTGATTTGTTTTTTGTATTGCTAAAGTGCTGGAATAAGAAAACTTACACAAACTATATATAGTGAAGTGAAACAGACTGCAATTGTCTTCCTTCTTTTCACAGCCTTTTTGATTTTATTAATCATATTGTGTGTGTGTGTATGATGGACATGCATTTTTTTATTGTTCATCACTTTAAATCTTCTTTAGCAAGAATTGAGATAAAACATAGAACAATTAAGTAGAAAATAGGTTTAGATGGTCATTGAGATAATTCTCACAAGTTTACCATTGAGACACAAGATAAAAAGGAAATATCCTTGAAGCATCTAAAGTAACGCAGAAAAGATAATTGTTTCATCCTCTAATTTGTACTTTCACTTAAAATTGCTAAGTGTTGCATTATATACAGTAATCAACTGGACTCTTTGCTAGAGCTTGGCAATTATACTGTTCCCAGGAAGGTTTTCCCTTTCTTCCGATATTCTTGTGCTTGTCCAGTTACTGGGCTTAAAAGAATGGAAGTTATTCCATAAAGGGAGGGAGAGAAGAAGGGCTGAGTTCACAGAATAACATAACCGTATATCCCTGCTAGCATCATGCCCTGACGGGGATGCTGAGTTTGAGCACACACGTGAGTCTTCGCCCTTGGTCTAGGAGTGCAAGGAGTTGAGGGGAGGAGAATTCACGAAGGCATGACAGATACATATGCATAGTTTCAGTACAAATTTGAATTATTCACCCTCACTGGACACTGTGCTAAGTGTACACTCTTTGTTATACTTCTGTGGAGAGGTTGGAGATTTGTTGCTCTTCTCTGTAGAATTAGAATAAAGGGAATCATCCAAAGATTGGTTTGTTTTTTTAAAGTTCAATTCTAAGTCATATTACCGTACTCTGTTCCATTTCATAAAAGCAGGCAGAGAATATCATGTAATTTTATTCAAGTGAATAAAAATTAACTTTCTTTCTTACCAAACTCCAGTTACTTCTATAACTTGTTGATGTATTTGATATTCTCAGTGGAAATTATAGTGTATAATATATATAGTGTATAGGAAATATAGCTTCCAAGGGTTTAGTTCATCTTCTGGTGGTCTGGAGTGAATCTAGGTGGTGATTGATGTGTCATTGAAGATAATACAGTCCACGCCAACTTGCTCAATCATTCTCCCTTCCAGTGTACTAACATCGAAGGCTGGTGTCTCCTCAGCAGCCAGCTTGGCACAACACATCACATATACTTTTTTGACAAGGGGCCTTCGAGAATTGGCTCTCCCGTAGCGTAGACCCAGAAAGTCTCTTCTCCAAGGAAGTGAATGGGGAGGAGTGAGGAGTGACCCAGGCAAAATATTCAAGCAACGACAGGAGTTGACCATCTCTAAATCGCCTAGAGGGAACTGTTGGGCCATCACGGAGCTTATATTGGACCATTCCATCTCAGCTGGTGGGAAAATGCAACCGACAGGCAAATTTCTAGGAGAAACTAGGACAATGTTCCTTTTACTATCTGCAAACCTGTTGGGGAGGAGGCTTTCAGGAAATAGAGTCAAAAGGAGACTCCTTTCTCCTCATGCCTGAGAAACACAAACCTACTGGGTTACACAGGAAAACTCTGGTTAGTGAGGTTATGGAAACTGGGAATTGCTATTTGGAAGGGAGCTGTTATTACAAATCAAGGGTGTCTTGATTGTCCCTGTTTTTTGGTTTTGGTTTGCTATTCTCATTTGAAAGATGCAAATTAGTGGCTATATTATACCCCACAAATTCTTCCTTAAGATGGCATTCCTACGATTACTACACCGATTTTACCCGTTCACTGTAATCTGGCTCTGCTTCTATCCCTATCCATGGTCAAGACAACCTTCAAATCAGTCAACTGTTCCTATTCTGGGCAAGATTATACTTACAGCCCAGATATCACTCCTGATCTTTACACCTGTATATTCTTAGCATCTCTTTAATGTCTCAATGGCACCTCCAACTAAATATGTTCTAAATTCAACTCGTGATGTTTCACCTCTCTCCTGACCTCTTAACCTGGCCCCCTTTCAGTATTGTGTCTCTCAGTGAATGGTCTCACCAGTGATGGAAACATGAAGCTTAGGATTGACTCCTGAGATGTCAATCTCCCTTAACCTCTTGTCTAATTCATTACAAAATCCTATGAATTTATTCTCCTAAGTATCTATAAAACCTCCACCCTCAATCAAAACTGTGGTTATCTCTATCCAGGAGTATCATAGGATCCTCTTAACCTGTCCCTTCACCCCATATTTTCTCTGTGTCTCCCACTCCTGGAGACAGCATCCAAGGTTTTTGTTGAGCCTGTCCCTTTCCTTTTCTCAGACCATGTGGTTCAGGTGGGATTGACTCTACTATCTGACTCTAGAAGTGAGTAAGTCATTCAGGCCTGACTATAAGTATGTCCTCTTCTTTGGCCATAATGATTGTTTCATGGATGGACCTATGACCAAGTTGTTCATTAAGTGTCATTCCTGGGATATTTGCTGGATTGATAGGGGGGGAAAGTTCTCTTTCTGCTAGGGTGATAATATATAATTTTCTTTTTTTTTTTTACTCTAGGTTGCCAGCTGTCATTTCATCCCCAAGAGTGGAAATTCTGTCTAAAAACAAAGCCAACATAGTAGAAAGCCAAGCTGTGCCTGTGATGCCAAGAGTTATATTCCTGAAAACATCATTAAGTATCTGGATCTCAATATACCTGAATATCTGCTCTTGGCCATGTTTTACAGTTTTGGAGCCAACAAGTTATCTTTTCCCTTCAACCTCAGGGAATTCTGAAAGAATCTTGTATAATAACACTTCTTGATCTTTTCTGCCTATTCCAACCAGAGCGATCATCTCAGAATGTTCATCTGATCATGTCAATCACCCCATTTCCCCTCCAGCTTATTGCACATAGGTTAACAACAGACCAAACTTAATAGCACCCTCCAGTTTTGTGTGTCTGTCTCCTAGCTACATCTTTAGCATTACTTCTTTGTAGAGGTAAAGTCAAGTCCCTGCTCTCTCCACTCCAGCCACCTTTAACAGCCACTGTGTACCCTCTTGCCAAAGGAGCTTTCCACATTCCCTCTGCCTTGCTCTTCCTTCCTTCATTTCACCCAGTTGATTTCTGATCTCCTTTTAGATGTCAGCTCAGGCATCAATTCAAAGTTTTCCTTGAACTCTTTCACAGTGTCATATCCCCTGATTCTATGATCTCAAAATACTATATACCCAAAGCCTGGGTGGCTCGGTCAGTTAAGCAACTGCCTTCCACTCCAGTCATGATCCCGGGGTCTTGGGATCAAGCCCTGCGTTGGGCTCCTTGCTCAGTGGGGAGTCTGCTTCTCCCTTTCCTTCTGCCCTCACCCCTGCTCATGCTCTCTTTTTCTCTCTCTCCCTCTCTCTCTCTCTATATATATATATCTCAAATAAATAAGTAAAACCCTTAAAAATACCATATACCTCTCCTCTGTAGCATGTCTCATAACTGCAATCATGTATTAATTCGAGTGATTATTGACATTTGTTTTTTCTGCCATGTGAACAAGGACCTGTTCTTCTTGCTCAACCCTATGTCCCCTGGACTGTGGTAGCATATTTTGTGTTATAAATATGAATGAATTGATACTGCTGAAGCATTTGTTGTTGTGGAATACACTTTTACATTTCAAACTCCCTTCTTCATAGAATTCTTTAATACTATTTTCTATTTTTCTACTGCTTCTCTTACTTTTCTCTTTTTTGTTGACTTCTTGTACTGACCTCTCTAATTCTGACCAATCTGTATACATTTATTTCTTAAGGTTCTGATGTGCAGCCTCTTTTCTTTTGGTCTACTGCGGGCTTTTCTACTTCCATAGCTTCCCCTCCTACTTAGCACCTGTGGTAGAGATGTTTCTACCATTGTCTCATCCATATTTTTTCTAAGGGAAGCTTCCCCACATGCAGCCTCTGATTGGTATGGATTGGCCTTTTTAGTAACTGTTAATCAGGTTGGGATGGATATCTGACCTGAGAGCAACCAGTCCCATAGATTGATCAACATTTATGAATTGCATGGCTTGACTCCAATATATGCATTGAAATAAACATTTTTTTAAAAAAAATCAGGGGTTCAGACTCAGAGAAATAGATCACTATTTAATAATGGGAACTAAGCTGAAAGATCATGATGTTGATGGGGCTGGAGAGATTATGATAGGCCATGCACAGGCTGAAATAATTGAAGAATATGAATTAAGTAAACAAAAGAAACCCATCAGTAGTGGGATAGGGTGAATTCAGAGACAGAAAAGAACACATCACCCACTACACGACCACTGTTTATAGTAAATCTGGGGCCCTGGACAAGAGCTGAAGTTGATTTACTAATTTACCACTAATTTACTAATTACCACTAATTAGCTGAGGGAACTTATGTAAGTTACTTAAATTTTCAAAAACTTGTTTTCTTTTTTATAAATGTGGATTGTAATAGAATATAAATCACAGAACTTGGGAGGATTGCATGATCTAAGGCATAAAAATGCTTAGCTTAGTGCCTAATACATAACAAATACTCAGGGAATAATAATAAAAGAAA